CTACCTATGGCTTTCTGTAATGATCTCTGGAAAAAAAAGAAATTGCTTCAATGCGGGTGATATCTACCCTTACCAGTAGCTATAATGATAGGTGTTATAAACTACTATTTTTAACTTAAAACAATCAGAGAATAAATTATTTCATTTTCCTAAATCCAGCTGTATGCAAAACTAAATTACAAAATAAACATCATATGAAACAGTGAAAAAACAAGGAAAACTATGTAAACCATTTTGTTAAAAAATTTTTAGGTATCTTTCAGAATTAAGCAGGTATTATGAGCAAAAAATTTCATTTAAAAACTCAGTAGTACTAATAGTGTCATTTTAAGACTATATTAACCTCTATGTTCTCTTTATTTTTTTCACACAATATTTGAAATGTGTTATTATAAATATGCTACTTAAAAATGAGCTAATGTGAACTTGTAGGTAAATGCTATAAGGCACACAAATCACTTATGAATTTAAATAAGTAGAATATTTTGGATATTTTTCAAGAAGTTCTCAATGTTATTACTTTGGTTGTCATTTTTATTTTTCTATTGATTCTTATATAGTCTCATTTTCCACCTTTCTAGAGCATAAATTTTGATATTTCTTGCAGTGTGAGTCTGTTAGTGATGATAATTCTTGCATTAGGTATCTGGATGATTTTCTTTTTCCTTCACTTTTAAGATTTTCTCTTCCTTTCTAGGTTGAGATTTTTCTCATTTTTGTATGTTCACAATATTTTTCCATCAGATTTTTTAAATATTCAACTCTTACTGACTAAGTGTGCCACAATCCTTTTGCTTTCTCTGAATATACCTCTTTCCTTAGATAGTTTGATGTTGTATCTGTTAAAGTGATTTGGAAATCTAAGTGAACATGTCCTTTGTTGCACTGTTAGATTCTCTGTTTGTGGATAATTGAGCTTCTTGGGTGTAAATGTTTATAGTTTTCACCAGAAAACTGAGGCAGTTTTTTTTTTCATTTTATTATTTAATTTATTAGAATAAGTATATATTGTGCGTGCCTGCTTGCCTATACGTGCACTACCTGCAAGTACATGACTATAAAGGACAGAAAAGGATGTAAGACCCGCCCTGAATTGTAGTTACCTAATTCCTTATGAAATAAATATTCATTCCAGTGAAATTCTAGGGTAATTAGGAATAAAGATATTCTGAACATTCTTACCAAGCCCATGTGTGGACAGTTGGCATCTGTTCCCTTAATACTATGAAGAGTGTTTCATGTACCAGGTATATGTTTACATGAATTAATGTTCCTGTGAGACTGGAGGAGTGACTCAGTTGGAGAGGCACTTCCTAGGATGCATGAGAACCTGAGTTTAAATCACCAAGCCACACAAGGACTACAAACAGTATGATTCCCCTTCAATTTCTTGTGAGGTTTTATAATATGTAATATAACTTATTTTATTTTAAATTCTTTTGATAAATCATAAAGTTGAAATATATGGATTATAAGCAGACTACATCTCATGGGTTCTATGTATAAACAAGTAGAATATATAGACAGAAACACAATTCTTATAACCATCTTTAAAATTATTCCTAATTTTGAAAGCTAGACGGTAACTTAAAATAGCTTATAGGATATATGATTTAACAAAACTTTATTTGAAATTTTAAAACTTATATTTAAATAATGTCCTCTTAATATTAATGCTAACAGGTGAAAAATCTGGTAATTAGAAAACGCTGAGATCGCACAGATAGTCCTTTGCACTTTTTTTGTATTAGCTTTTTCAATTGACAATATTTCATGTGCAAAACTATCAAGAAATGGGGAAAGGTAAAGAGTAATAGTTGGGTCTGGAAGTTTAATTTGTCTTCAAAGTTTTCATCTGAAAAAAATGAGAATAACATCATCAAAATATATAAACATGAAGTGTGCACTAACTTAGAAACATGTGAATGCTTTTAAGATACATGTTTATGTACATTATTATAGTCTTTTCAAATAAATATATTTTCAATCATAAAATAAAGAAATAATAAAACATACAGCTGAGGGGAAGAATGTTATTGAGCTCTTCTGGAGGGCTTATAAAGTCTCCCAAGATACACACACACACACACACACACAGAGAGAGAGAGAGAGAGAGAGAGAGAGAGAGAGGGAGAGAGAGAGACAGGCAGACACAGACAGACAGACAGACAGACAGAGACAGACAGACAGACAGACAGACAGAATCCTTAGAGTGGCATAGTCTTGGTGTATAAGTTCTTCAAGTGAACATAAGAAAATATTTTGAGTATCAAGCAAACTGTGTATGTTAACAGACCCACCTGAGAGAAATTAGATGTGCAAGTTACTCCTGTTTTTGAAGAATGGGATGAAATTAATATAATTAAATGAATATAATTAAATGAAATTTCACTGGGCAGTATCATGGGTGGTATTATGTGTCCTCATCTTTTCTAATTCTGTATTGAACTTAATCCATCAAAATAGGACTGTATTTGAAAGTGGAACTTTAATGGAGTGACTAAGTGAACACAAAGCAGTTTATTATCCCCAATCCAACATGATTCTTGTTCCTGTGGATAGAAACATGAGGACACAGCAAGAAATACAGGAAGCCATGTGACAAGAGCAAAGTTCATGTAAGGACATAACACAAAGGTCACCATCCAGAAGCCACAGAGAGGGACACTAAAGGGACTGACTTACTGTACGTGAGTCATGCTGAGTTATTATCGGAACACGTTTTAGAATACAAAAGGCTTAACCTCATTTGATGGCATGCTAACATGTACATGTGTATCACAAACAGATAAAATTAATGCTTAAGTGCCTCAACATACCATAAATTTCAATGTGCCTATTATTGCTTGGGTCATTGCTCCAGTCCTACCCCTCCTAATTGCTAGTCCCTCTCTTTTAGTTCATTCACAATTCCTGCTTTAGTTGCCCCGGTGGTTTCACAAGAAATAGTTTCTTCCTTTATGTTCTAATCTCTTTCAGAGACTGCTGACATAAGAGAAGGTCAGAAAAATGCCAGAGCTAAGTGATTTTTGGCAGAATCAAAACCTGTTGTCCACAGGTAACACATCATGTTTAAGCCCTCAGCCTGGTTGGCCCCGACTCCTGTTTCTATGCCCTTACATTTCTTTCCCACCTACAGGTCTGCCATAAGCCACCTTAGCAGAAAACTTCTCTGCCATGTTCTCATTTTATATACCAACTGAAGAAACTATGACTTGTCATGGAACTAAGTAGAAAGACCTGTCTACATGAAGCAAGAACAAAGCACTATTCGCTTTACATAACTGGTGAAAAATCACCAAGTGCTAACAGAATCTCACTTCCAAATATATCCATGATCATGCCAGAGAGAATATTCTGGTCAGCTTCATGTAGCTGTTATGTATTTTAATGCAGGTTACTCTGAGAAGTTTAGTATATTAATCTTTAAATCCCTGCACAAAGAGCTAAAGAAACTCTTGCACCTTGGACAGGTCCCATTGTCAACAGTAGATGTTGGTGCTGACATGGCCTTCCCTGCCTTTCCACTTACCAAATGTCAGCAAATTAGCCTCGGCCCTGCAGGGAAACTAAAATTCCTGTAAATCCTGTGTAAATGCAAAACTTTAAGAGGAAGCCAAACTAATCCTTCAGTGATGAGGAAGAGACTATTGTCTGAGATTTAACCTTTAAATATAATAAAATAAGCATTAAGTTAAAAGACCTTAAGTAACGCACATACCCAACAAAAGGCCCTATTGTAACCAAAATGCCTTGTTACCAAATTTTTGAAAACAAAACTTGAAACATGATAGTGAAGAAGATTAGAATAGATGTATATTTACATGACTAAATAAGTGCATTCTTTCAAAACGTGAGAGAAAAAGGCCAAATAGAAAATGGTAAATAAACACGGAGAAAATAGATTAAAAGTTTAATTTATAACAAGCCAGTAGAGAGTAGGGAAGAATGAGTACCAGGATATTATAATATGCTTCCCTCTGTTGTAGATCAACCGAAGAATAAAATCATATCTGATGATAAATGACATTTACATGAAATGGTACAAATCAACTAATATTCTGGGAGAGGCAATAGGCTATGTTCTTCCATTGCATAACCAAGGCTAATCAGTGTTTAGTGTCTGTGAATAACAAACAAACAAAATAACAATTTCCTGAAAGATAAAAACAACAGTAACAACAACAAAATAAAAAAAAATAAAAACCTGCCAACAACCTCAAACTCTAAAAACATTCTTGAAAGAGGGAGGGACCAGATGTCTGAAAGATGTAAAATAGCATTGATTTTCAAGACAGCTAAAATTTATGTTCCTGTGCTGTGAAAATTCCATTGTAGATTCTCTTTGTTTTAATAAGTTAGAAGAATTCTTTGCAATCAGATAATTTTAGGCCTGTTTTCCTTCAATACCAAGTCTTCTTTGATTAAGGACAAGTCATAGATTCCTATCAAATCTTTCTGAGCCACAGTAGGATGAGAGCTAACTTTGTTTCACACCTGACCACAGAGCCAAGGAGAAAAATCTACTATTCCGTGACATTCACAGTTGACTACCATATATGCAGTGTTTTAAAGAAGTATAACTATTGGACTATGAGTAATAATGCTAACCCCAAATGTAAACGTTTTCTTAATTTTTTGGCTAAAGGACTAATAGTAACAAACATGAATATGTGTGGACCCAAATTTGCCAATCAGTTCTATGCAGTAGATGATCATGTATGGCCATGATTCACTAAATAGAATAAAATTTGCAAAGGAATAATACAATTTTATTACCTAGATTGATTGTACGATATTGTTACCTCCAACCTCTGCCAAAGGTCCACTCTCTACCACATCCTGTTGAGCTGCAGTGCCAGAGGAGAGTCAGGGACACAGCATCCTGTTTGATCAGGGACAAGGTCACCCAGCCAGGCTTCAAAGGTGCCATTGTTCCACCACTCCTTATAAATCTAGTTGCACTGTTTTCCTGAGCTCACATTTGGCAACAACGCTAGAGCTTCCTTCAAGATGCTGGTGGTCCTAATAACGCTGGTTGTGCTGGCCCTGAGCACAGCTCAGAATTCAAATCGAGGTATGCAAATATGTTTATGAGGACTGTGATTCTTCATATGGTAGAGGTGATCACACAAACAGAAGTGAGGCAAGAGACTTAACAAAAATAATAACAAAATAGGAATGAAGAGTTCTTAGGTCAATGTAGAGATCACTTGAGTTCTTATTCCATCCTAAGAACCTGTAGGCCATTAACATACAGTTGAAACTATGGAAATTTAACATATTGAACTTTTTAATCGGAGGAATAAAAAAATTAATTTGCTCTTATAGACACAATTCTCTGGGCTTAGAAAGAACTACTGGAGTCTGGGGAAATTTTGTTGGGGAATTAACTTATGAAATTTTGGTGGGTTCTTTTCTGTGGGAACATTCTATATAAGTTCTTTTCTCCAAAACCAAAAAGTCTCGTAACACATGGAAAGCCACAATGGCCCATACTATCCATCCTTAGATTTAAAGTAACTCATCTGGTTAGTGTAGTGGTGACTAGTGGGATTAGAAATTGAGTGGCATGTTAGAGAAAAGGACAATGTGATAAAGTCTTTGAAATAACTAGTATTCACATCTCATCACTCATGGTTGCTTACTCTATACCCACACAGGATTTGTGGTTTCCAGCCAGAGAGAGAGACTACCCTCTTCCCAGCAAGACCCTGTTCCTAGGCAGAACCAGGACTACCAATCGCAGCAGGAGCAATGGGACCAACAAAGTCTTCAGCAGTCACAGCAGGAGAGGCAAAATCTGAAGGAGAGAAATCAGGAAGCACAGAGGCCACCAGCACAGAGGCCACAGCAGCTACCACGAGAGCAGCAACGACAGCAGAGACAACGGGGAAACTGGCAACAACGAAGAACCTAGGGATCTTCTCAAGGCCAGTTTGACTGGTAACCAAGAAGGCAATGTCAGTTTTGAGTTCTTTTGTTTCTTTCTTTCTTTACGTGAGACTCTTAAATTTCAGTGTTTCTAGAAAAAAAAAATAACTTACCAGTTTTAAACTTTAAACATGTTGAAAGTTCATGGAGATGATCACATTTCATTTAATATTCAGATATCCTGTGGTAGAGGTAATCTGTTGTTTAAAACCTCTGCAAGGTGATTCTTAATTTAAGAAGTGTTGTGCCCAAATTTCATTTTGGATCATGATACTCTGTCTTATCTTATATTGTTTTGTGCACAAAGATTAATGTTATTTCTAAGAGAAAGAGTAGTGTTCTCTCTAAAGTACTCTTCCTCCATGCTGAGAACCAACAGCTACTCATTGTACATTTCTGCTTTATCACTCTATACATAGTATGGTTTCACAGCATGGATAAATTGATAAGCCTTGTCTAGATTTTGTTTTAATTTTATTTAATCATCTTTACAGTCCAGATTTCATCCCCATTCCACAATACACTCTGACTACTCCACTTCTCATACCTTCTCCTCCCCTATCTCCATGAGGATGTCCCTACCCCCAACCCCTACCTCACCAGACCTCCACATTCCCGGGGGCCTCTAATCTCTTGAGGGTTAGGTGTATCTTCTCTGACTGAGTTCAGACCTGGTAGTCCTCTGTTGTATATGTGTTGGGAGCCTCATATCAGCTGGTATATGCTGCCTAGTTGGTGGTATAGTGTCTTAGAGATCTCGAGGGTCCAGGTTAGTTGAGACTATTGGTCTTCCTATAGGATTGCCCTCCTCCTCAGCTTCTTCCAGCTTTTTCTTAATTTAACCACAGGGGTCAGCAGCTTCATTGGTTGGGTATAAATATCTGCATCTAACTCTTTCAAGAGCTTGTTGAGTCTTTTGTAGGGCAGTCATGATAGGCCCCTTTTTGTGAGCACACCATAGCCACAGTAGTAGTGTTAAACCTTGGCACCTTCCATTTAGCTGTATCCCAATTTAGGCCTGTCATTGGACCGTCTTTTACCCAGCTTCTTCTCCAGTTTTGTCTCTGCAGTTCTTTCAGACAGGAACAATTCTAGGCTAGAGTGTTTTTGGCGATGGCAACCCAATCCTTGAATTGATGCTCTGTCTTTCTGCTGGAGTTGGAGTTTACAAGTGCCCTACTGCAGGGCATTTCATCTATGGTCCCTCCCTTTGAGTCCTGAGACTCTCTCAGTTCCCAGGTCTCTGGTATATTCTGGAGGGTCTCCAAACCTCCTACCTCCAAATTTGCCTATTTCCATTTTTCTGCTGATCCTCAGGGTTTCACAGCCTGTTACCCCACCCAATCTCTGATCATGTTCCCCTCTTCCCTTTCCTGTCCCCTTTCCTACCCAGGTCTATTGCTCCTCCTCCCCCAACCCCAGTCCTGTGATTGCTTTCTTCTCCCTCCCAAGTGGGACTGAGGCATCCTTGCCCTTCAGCTTGTTAACCTTTTTGAGATCTGTGGATAGTATCCTTGGTATTCTGTACATTTTTTTTTGACTAATATCCACTTATTAGTGAGTACATACCATGCATGTCCTTTTGGGTCTGAGTTACCTCACTTAGGATGATATTTTTTTACTTGCATTCGTTTGCCTGCAAACCTCAGGATATCCTTGTTCTTAATAGCTGAATAGTCTTTCATTATGGAAATGAACCACATTTTCTGTATGCATTCATCTCTTGTGGGACACCTGGGATGTTTCCAGGTCTGGCTATCACAAACAAAACCACTATGAATGTACTGGAACATGTGCCCCTGTGGCATCGTGGGGCATCTTTTAGGTATATGTTCAAGGGTTGTATGACTGGATCTTCAGGTATATCTATTTCCAATTTTCTGAGGAATCCCCAGATTGATGTCTAGACTGGTTGTTCCAGTTTGGAATTCCACCGGTAATAGAGGAGTGTTCCTCTTTCTCCACATCCTCACCAAAATGTGCTGTCATCTGAAGTTTTGATCTAAGCCATTCTGATTGGTTTAAGGTGGAATCTCAGGGTATTATTATTATCATTATTATTATTATTATTATTATTTCCCTGATGACTAAGGTGGTTAC